GTACAGTGTGGTACAAATCAACATTTTGTTTGAATTGAGAACACGGACAACCCAGACACAGAAGGTATTTATTTAGAACAGATGAATGCTCCCAAGAGCTGGGGTACTGGGAGTACTGAGCTCCCGAGATTGTTCCTAGAAAAAGTAGATTAAACTACTCCACTTACCTTTGGCTAAAAAAAGCTCATTTAAAAATATATTGGAGAAAACAATAAAAAAAGTTTTGCACAACTATGTATTTCCAGGCACATGGTGAGAATATCTGAAATTAAAACCCCCCATTCTCTGCTTGTTTGTCTAGCAGTCTGTCCAGAGGTATTCCCTGTCCTAGAAAAGGCTTACGTATGTCTGCTTTACCTAAACCAGTTTGCCTACATTTTCCTTTATGATTTTTTATTGTACTCCCAGGCTAGTCGGGCATTTCTCTTTCACAGCACTGATGGTAGCCCTTCACACAAAATTTGCACTACCATATTTCTTTAGCACCATGAAATTTTCATAATGGCTTGTAAACAAAAAAAAATGATGTAGTAGACAGTTTTTTTTCTCCTGACTCCAGTCCCACATGCAGGGAACAATTCCAGAAGTTCATCTGGCATCATTTCTAATTTGAGTTCTGCGCACCAGTGAAAAGATCATAATTTGCTGATGTTACGTTTTATCGCAGTGCCTTCTGTTTGCTCGACAATATGGACATTTAGACTACCTTGTTTTTATACATTTGTCCCTGAGTATCTGGATTTTTTTGCTCAATCACTCCCAATATGGACACTTAGTGCCCTTTAAAGAAGCATTGTGATTTACAAATGCAGTAATTGTAGAAATAGTTTTTTTGAGCTTCATCTGCTGTAGAAGGAGAAAATAGAATTCAAGAGCGGGCAAATACCTGGAAGATGATGTTTGATGTAGACAAGTGAAGGGTTTTTCATACAGGTAGCAAGTGTTTATGTGGACATATCGCTAATATGTTTTTGATAAGTAATTAGGGGTAAGCAATTAAAAAGGCAAATAGTTTACAGTATGTAGTTAAAAGCATAAAAGTCAAATGGACAGATGTTAGATTTGTATAGAGTACTGCCTTAAAAGGGCTCATGTAGAATACTGTGTAAAATTTTCAAAAGAAAAGATACAGCCTAGGAAACTGTCCAGTTAAAAGCAACCAGATACATTCCAGACCTTAAGAGAATGTTCTACATGGACTGCCTGATGGAACAGACCCTTTTCAGTCTTGAATCAAGACGATTACGAGAGAACATGAAACAGGAGTGGGCTTCTTCAGAATAAATATTGAAACACAAACCAAAGTGCACAAGGAAACCTGAAGAAGTGAATTTAAAAGAGAACAGGAGGAACTTTTTTACCCATAAATGAGGTATCATGAGTATGATGCAAGCTTCCCAGTCATGGTTTTGAAGGCAATACCCTGGCTTCTTTCAAACACCCTGAATTAATTAGCGACAAACTACCAAACTGGAAAAATCTGCCAAACGGCCTCCTCTCGTTTGTAACAGATCTTATGTTCTTAACTACTCCTTGCCAAGTCACTTAATTACAATACTTTTTTATGAACTGCATATAGGTGTCCATATGTTAATCACAGGGCTGTTTGTTAGCGTTTATAGCTGCATAGTTAAACATGTTTCTTTTTCACATAATAAAAATACTAAGAAACAGGACACTACAATAAGGTTCTTAGTTGAGTGAGTCAGTTATTTTCCATTATGTTCCATTTGCTTCTGCTTTAATACAACTAAAATCAAGCATAGTGGATAGCGCTATCTGAATAATTTATCTCCATAATGTGAGAAACAAAATAAGAATAAATTCCCCACAGTGCGACTTCATGTGGACAGGTATTCACAGCCAAGGCTATAAATGACCCAAACTAATAGAACACCAGATGGTTTCTTTTAAAGTATCAGTAGCCGTGTTTTAAAATGGAATACTTGGATATTTATCAAGAAAGTCCTCTTGAATGGAGGAAACATAAAACAAAAAAAAACCACAGGGAGCACTGGGAGCCCCATTCCGTTCATGTGGAAAAGAAAAGTGACACACTAAATATTTTAACATTCATTTATACAGAAAAGTAGGACAGAGGAAGCTGTCAATGAAATATAACCGAACTTCTTCATTTGGCCTATTTCTAACATTCAAATTTAAAACAGTTTTATTGGCTTGACTGGTAAATTACAGTGCTGCTAAAGTATATACAGTCAATACAGCATCTACAGACATTTATGATACAAATGCATCACAGGTCATTTACATACAACATGCAGAACATCAGTGAGAGACAGGCTCACTGTTCCTCAGGCTGTGACAGGAGATCACACACTGGGCTACCAGCTCAATTGAGTTCCCTCCTCCCCCCCCCCCTTCCCAGTAGGATTGGAAGCTATTCCGATGCTGGCTCGTGTGGGAATTCTGGGATTAGATTTGTTATTTTGGGAAACAATGTTTGTCTAATGCCAGAATATTTCTCACAGTGCAGTAGAAAGTGCATCTCTCTCTCTCTGCTTCTCCCCGCTGGCACTGGGAACACAGCCTGTCCTCCCTGGGCAGCCAGGTCTGCCTGTATTGCCCAGTTTTTATGGCGATCAAACCTCCTGTTCGAAGAAGAGACCCTTCCCACCACAGCACTGCCCTCCCTCATCATGCTTGCCAGCCCTTAGCATTCTCTCAAGCACGGCTTTCAGGCCAGAGCTCTCTCACTGTCCCCTACCATCCTTTTACAGCACCTGCTACTCTGCTGCTTCTTGGATACTGGAAAGCTGTAGAACAAGTCATGAATATGATGTTAATGAAAACAAAGAGCTCATGACAGACCTTCTCTACCACTACGCCTCGGAGCCATTTGTCTGTGTGTCTAATCATGCTATGTACATTCATAAGTACCAAAATTTACTCAAATTCTTCTTGCCAGTTCCAAGATGGCAGGCTCTCAAAACATCCAAAGACAATTCAATTAGACACTATTCATCAACTTTACTTGACGCAAAGAACCGATGTCTCACCTATTTAGGGTGTTCCACAGGGTTCAGCTCTGGGACCTTAAATATTTACTGTTTGCATGTTGACTCATGGTCAAATGTTTAGCCATCATGGACTTGGAATTCACCATTATGATGGCGATACTGAGATTCACCAGCAAACTGAATCAGATACTACTGCTGCTTGACAGCTGTCAGTGGGACATTGAGAAATGGATGCAACAGTACCTTCTGAATCTAAACTATGACAAGACTGAGTACCTGCTAATTAGATCCCCACAACAGCTATTAAAAGTTGACGACTTCAGTTTCACTCTTAACAGTGCAAAAATAAAACCATTGACCAAAAAGAAGAAACTTTGCTATTTTTGACTATATGTTGTCAGCCAATATTTGAAAAATCACAGGTGTTATAGTCCCAACCCTGAGTAAAGTAAATTGATAAATGTCTTTATTTCATCTGGATTAGACAACTGTGATGATTTACTGGTGTATAGTATCTACTAAGGTACTAAACCAGCTTGTGTATGACCACAATTTGCCATACAAAGTCTCAGCATATATCGTGTATCCTGTATAAACTATGGTACAATAACTACTTGTGAAATTCAGCAAAAATATGCTTCTTCTGCTCACTGAATGATATAGATCCAGTTTATCTCAATGTTTTACTGCGTGGTGATAGCTCATCTCTTACTCTGAGATTTTGTGATTCATGCCTTACTCTGCTGAAGATCAGGCTCTACACAACCGACAACATAGCTTTCTTTTCTAGTGCATATATAGGACTGAAGAATTATTGAGGAAGTTTTCCAATTTGGGGGGGGAGACTCAGCAACTGGGCTCACTTTTTAAAACTCACTTAAACACCCATCTTTCACAAGAGGTCTTAATGCAGAATTCTTAGATGTAGATTTGGTTTTATTTGGTCATTTGTACTGTGTTTATTTCTGTTATGTGCTATGCATATACTGTACTATAATACAGTGGATTGATTTTTTGCGCTCTATCATTCATATAAGTGAATAATGCCAATTACAATGAAATTGTGGGACAGTCTAGATTGTATGCTCTGCATGTACAGTGTACTGTATAATTCCCTCTGTCCTGTTTGCCTACAGGGTATAAAAGACATCTGATATGTGCCAACTGCCTTTTCATACCTCTTTTTGAAAATGTTTAATTTAAGGCAAACCTACAGGAATGTAGCCATTATGTGTTGAAATGCTTAGAAAATCGCCATTCACGCGTCTTTAGGCTGTCCAGTAGATTATTACACACTGCAATCAGTCCCACAGCTCAAGCGGGTATCAGACTTGATCATCTGGAATGGAGCTCACTCACACGTTTTCATACAACTCCCACAATAAGACCTTAAGACTCCAGAAATTCTCCAGCAGCTACCAGGTAAGTGACCTAATGACTCAATTACTGTACATGGCACACAGTGCAAACAAAGGAGACCAGGTGCACTGGAGATCATCTTGATCCAAACGGCCCTGGCACCATTCCCCAGAAATAATACAGCTCACACAGCACAGTGAAGCAAGCCGAAAACTCCCAAGCAGAATGTCACAGGCCAGCAGGTTATATTGTACTGTATAGGACTTGTTTTATTATTGGATTACATACGTTATGAACATACAACACAAGATACAGAAGCCAAAGTACAGCGTACAAAGCCTCTGCTCTTTAGGTAGGGAGGGGATCAAGACAAGTAGCGCACACCTGCTAATGCCTTCGCAGGGGAGAGGTGTGGATGCAACTGGAAAATACTACAGGATTTCTCAAGGGGTTTTCATTACAGTGTCAGAAAATCTGACAAGGGGATGACTGGAAGTTAAATCGCAAGAAACTGATGACCTCTGATTCGCCCACTATCAGCATTTATTTGTTATTGCACTATTGGCAACAAGTTGCCACACAGCGTTTTACAGATAATGCAGGTATAAGAAATATTTTACGGACAGGTATAGTTGACCAGGAAGAGTAACATTTGTATCTTACCTGGGGGCCCATGGAGTTTGGCTTTCTTGACTGTAAGAAAAAAAAACAGAAATATATTGATTAGAGGACCAATAACATATAATGCTCTGATACAATATGCACCACCATATGGCAGTCTTTATTAGATCTGGTAAGAAAAGTTTGGATTTACCTCATTGCCTCAAGCCACACTATTGGGCAAAAGATGAAGTCAGGCAGGTATGGTATCACTCAGCCTAACCCCTTTCCTGCCAATTTTAATGATTTCTACTCACCCGGCCTTTGTATTGATCAGGGGAAAAGGTCAAACACTACAAAGAAGGATTCTCCCGTTTCAGACTGTGTTGCGCCTTATGTTTACGGTTTACTGCTGATATCCTTTTCCACTGCATCACTGACAACATCCACACATCAGAGCTCACAACAAAACTAGGCCTGAAAAAGCTTTTAGAGCTATAAATCATTCACCCTTTGAGGGATGCTGCCTGAGCCTTCCACAGTAAATGTTTAATGACCACCAGTGCCTGTAGCCCACAGTTGAGCCCCACTCAGAAATCAATTTATGAAGGGGGAGCTGTCTGCTTAAGTTATCCTAGATTTGAAGACTGAACCAAACCTCTTAGGTGTGCAGTTCTTCTGAACATCATTCCTTCTTATTCATACTCTGTAAATGCCAAGACGCTATCCCAGAATACCTGCTAGGCCATAGCTCAAAAAGCACCTATTCTTAGGCCACATAGAATATTCTAACACTTATTTTTTTTATTTCAGATGCACACACAAGCTAAGAATGTGTAACCTAGTCTAGTAATTGACACAACAGGATCAGGATCTTTCAACAAGTCTGTTAGGGTTTTTCTTCTTGTTTAAAACTGTACCTTACAATGTGAGATACAGTAAAACAAGTTCTTGCAGAAAACAGTGAACTACACGACATCACCCACAATATATCTGGATTTGCCAAACTAATAAAAAAAAGACAGTCATGTTCATACCAACTACTCCCCTTTAGAATGCAGATCCAGATTTCCCAGTTTTGAAACAAACAGGTTCAATTTATCATTTACAATACATCTATAACCATTCCCTTGCTCAACATCTGATACTCTTGCTCACCTTAATGTGTATTATTTGTAAGTGTATTATATATTTTTTTTATTTTGTCTGCTGCTGTAAAAACAAATTGCACCCTGGGGATAATAAAGACACTCTATCATTCCAAAACATTTAATGTTTTTCTAATGATTATTCAGTTTGCAGACTATTTGTCTCTTGGAATGGAATGAAGTTTTACCATTTCAACTGAAAATTGGGACCAAACCAGCCACATGTTTATCAGGACAATGGCTGGAAATGGTTTCAAATGTGTATTTATAAGGATGTCTGTTCATAAGGAGTGCTACATGAACATATTGTACTGTAAATGAATTTCATTCACCCTTTATGGTCTGTCGGAGTTTGAAAATCACACCAGCAGAAAAAGTCAATAATCTCCGAGTGAGGGCGTCTGGTCTGGTGTGAGCGCAAAGTAATGACAAGAAGCAGAATCAAGGTGGACACCAGCCAAAGAGACGGATGTGAACTGTGTGCCAATAAAAAAAAAAAGCTGAATCTCGGCCACATTCTGAGTACACATTCTACAACGCTTTCCTTTATAGAATTGCTTTTTTTGAGTTTCAAAACACCATTTGTTTAATTTAACTATTGACTCTATTTATAGCTTAGTCCTTATTCTATGAATGTATCACACTCATCATACTTGAAAAAAATGTATTAAAACTGATAGGTATGTACCTAATATCAGAATATTCAACCTGCGTAAACTCAACATAATGTATGTGCAGAGAAATCTAACAGGACATCAATATTTACAGGCAGAGGAATATAGTTTGACAACAAAACTTTCTTTTCTATCAACAGATGCAAAAACATGTCATAAAGTGTGAAATGTCTTCTTGACCTGAGCTACAGGTCTAACTAGTTTCAGGAGCTGAAGATGCCATGCTTCCCAAAGAGGACTCAACTGTGTTGTTAAAAGCAGAAAGAACCACTCTCTTCCAGAACAAGATATCTTTCTCACTCTTGAATTTTGTTTCTTACAGAGCCTATGGGCGTTCGAGAATAAAACAACACGGACGAGTTCCAGAACTAATATCTGAGCCTGTGCTATTCCACGATTCCAAATGCAACAGGCAGACATCAGTGAGAAAACACCATTGACTAGTCTCTAAATCTCTCCAAGCCCATTGTTTCCCATTTCACCTCTGACGGCCATGACCACTCTAATCTCTCCGTCTGCCTTCTCAAAGACGGTTTTCTGAACTCATACATCAGAAAGACTACAGAAACCAAAATTATCCTGCAGCTAGGATCACACCTTCCCCCTTCTCTTAACGACAGACTAGTAGTTTTCTTCTAAATTTTCTCCATTCATTGGAAGTTTCATTTCACACCTCTCTACACCTATTCTGACTTCACACCTCTTGATTGGCCTCTCTTTCGGTCCCCTGCTCCCACCCCTCGATCCTCCTCTCTCCCAACCTTTGTTCTCCCGCTACATTACCTTTGCCTACTGCCTCGTCTCTCTCACACCTGAAGAAGGCTCCACGGCCAAAACGTTGTGTTTTCCTTGTTCCTTTTTTCAGCACGGAATAAACCTATTACTTGTTCCTTTGCAGCCTACGCATGCTGACGCAGCCACCCACCTGAACTACCATTGACTAGTGCCTCATCAGGTGCTGAGGAGACTGCTTGCATTTTCGTTCAGAATTCAACTTACATACTTTAAACACTCATTATGCAAGATGGTATCTAAGAAAACAAAAACTTTGAAACTGATGATGAACAATGGTGGTTCTTCTAGCCTAGGACGTTATAGTTCAGCCCAAGGGACTGTGGTTTCATCACCTGCATTGTTTTCAATGTGTGGGCTCCCGTTGGCAGCAGCAGAACAGACTCTTCGGTACGGACATCAGAAAGAAAGAAATCTGCACAATCTGTCTGACGGATTGTGATCAGACGATAATCATGACAGCTTTTTCCACCTTTCAGAAAACCTTGCGCGGCTTTTAATCACATTCGGTGAGCGATGCCGAGAGGCTCCAGAAGCAGATTTCAAAGCGCTCTTCCTTTCAATGCCAGTCTGTTCAGGAACATACTGTACACAGTAAAAGAAAAATCTCAGTGTTCCCCCATCTCAAAGTTATGCAACACAAACTTCATCTACAGATTTCACATAAGTGGCGAGCAGGAAAATGTCACACTTTGACAAGTCCTTGTCTATTAAGGATGGCAAACAAAAACAATTATGCAATGGCAAGCATGTTTCTAAACTTTATTTTCCTTGTTAACTGCAACAGCAAACGTAAAACACAAATTAACGTAGAAAACAAAAAAAAACAAGTAATTATTTGTTGACTATTATCTGAAGACAAAAACAAACATTTCCAACACCTTCCAAGGAGTGGTGTGTCTGCTTCTTTTAAAACACTGCTGTGAGTAACATTGCAATCATTTTCTTTCTTCCTCCCTTATTTTGGTCTTTAATGAGCATCTCATGGAGCCACCAGAAGTCTTCACTGCTGGAACCCAGCACTCTCAGTTATAGTTACTTGGGTTGGTGCCACAGGTGCACTCTTCTGTTATTTGAGAACATGGTGGAGGAAGCCCCTTATGACCATATCGCATTCCCCTACAGCTCTGTAGTCCATTGTCCATACTGTTTGCACCACTGGGCTCGCAAACCTGAATAGTCAGTGATTTGTGCACTGACGCCTGAGTCTGTGGAGGTTTTAGGAAACCATTTGTGATGAAACTTTGTTGTAAGTCGGTCTTGTTTGGCCTTGCCCTCCAAATTAATGCACAGCTATCACTATGCACTTGACCACCAGCGGTGGTCACAAGGACCAGGACTGGGAAATCCAATTCTAGACACTTCAACCTCACACCAATAACACGCAGCAGGAAGGCCTTGTTTCTATCCCACAATCATTAAGGGAGGTGGGGCCGCGTACTATTTTCAAACAAGAGATCCATGTTGGGCAACTTGCAGGCTTCCTTCTATACTTGAAGTCTCAGGCAAGTCGGCTCTCTTCATAGAGCCATTCAGCGCTGTCACATACCAGCCAGAGATGATAGCAGCCAAGAAAAACAGAGATCTTTGTAATGGGAGGTCACAGCACACAGCAGCTATCACAAGAGAGATGGAGGGATGTAAGCAGGTGGCTCAGTACAAAACCAGCTGCCCTTTTCCTCTTGTAATAAGGATATTAAGGGATTATAAGCAAGCACTAAATCTATTACTAATATATGCACTGATGTAAAGGGATTAAATCTGAAGTACATGAAAGAAAAAATGAAGAAAGGCAACAGTTTTGATTTCTTGATGAATTAGTGGAGGATGGCACAGTAGCACAGGGGTTAGCATTGTTGTCTTTTTTAGCGTTGTTTGTTCCCCCACAACCCTGAATAATGTGGTTAGAAAATGGATAGATGGATGAAATGGGAGAAACTCTGGCAGTATATGCAAAAGCAGCAGCAATATAATCTGATCACACTCAAGTGTATTTCTGAAGCAAAACAGGCAGCTCGAAACAACTTCCAGGTGTGCAGTGAAAAGTCAAAATGCATCAGATGACTATAACTTCAACAACATTCCCGAGATCTGAGGCAAGTCTACTGACAGGCTCCTCTATGCTTGCGAGCTTAAAAATAGATTGAACAAATATAGCCTTAAAAGGGATTTTATAAAGTCTAATGATGGTTCTATCAAAACAGCACAGAATAAATAAAAATCAGCAAGATCCTGGGACTTATTAAATGCTGAGGTATAGAATTGGAAGAAAAATTATTAATAAAAAAAGCAGTACAGTATATTTAATGCATGAACAGCTTGACCTTAACAGTTGCAAACAAGAACAGGGCTGTATCTATTCAACCATGAACCACTCAGAGAACATATAGCTTCATTAGGATTTGGATACAGATTATTTCCTAATTGGTTTTCTGCTCTCAAAGGGTGCAGCATCATACACACACACACTCCAGGCTAA